GTGACCCCACCGGGATCGTGCTGCCAGGGGGTGTGCTCCCCCCACACTCCTCTTCCTCCGCCAGTGCATAGAGGGACCAATGGTCTGGACATGGTGTATGGCAGCTTCCCGTGTTCTTATATAATTGCTGCATAAACAACTCTAATAGGAAGGAAAGGCATTTTGCTTGGTGGGTGTCCTATCTAGGTGTTGCCCACCACTGATGGGCAACTTCAAGGTCCCCAATTTCCCTTCTTAGGGGTCTTTATCTTTAACCTGGATCTGGACCAGATAACCCTTCAAACAGAGCACTTGTCTTCAGCTGGTGGGTTGGGACCCACTTCTGGGTTCTGGCCTGATCCAGGGTGGGTTGCAACAGGAGCACTACCAATAAGTGGCAAAAGATGAATGAATTATTCTTATATATTTATTTATAAGATTCAAGGTGGCTTACTAGATAAAAAAAACCAAAACAGCCTGTTGGAATAAGAAGGTCTTAGCTGCTGCTGGAAGGACAGCAAGGAGGGAGCCAGTTGACCTTCTTTGGAGTTATCTGATGGGTCCCCCAATGTATGTTTGATTTAAAGGTAGGTCCTAGGTCTGGAAAAAGTCAAAGACTACTGAAATAGAGGATGTCCTCTAAAGCAAGACACAGGGGCACCCTAAAAATAGCAGGAGGACAGCAAACTGCTGTGGAAAGGTGGTGAACTGAATTTAAGATTGGGAAAATGAGAAGCTGAGACAGACCGATTTGTCCACCCCCAATAGTGGACCTGACTTGGCCACATTCATCTCTAATTGTGCAGTCTGTGCGGGCCTCTCCATTTTCTCTTTATGTGTTTGTATTCAGCTTTCATTCTCACGTGAAATAGAATCGATCCTCCTAAGGAGCTGAAATTGCTCTCAGCATCAGTTTTCCTGCTCCTAATCAGAGAGGATACAGTAGAGATACAGCTTGGTTTTATGATCACTTTTTGTTACTTTTATTGCCTCATTTCCTGTGTGTTTTTAAAAATACACATGGCTTAGAAATGTGAATTATTAAGTGGCATATAAATGTCCTAAATAAAATAAACACATCAATGCGGGGAAGGAGATGGCGCAGAGTAGCATGGAACGTTCCAGTAAAGGCAAGGGAAGTTTCAGGTGGCAAAGAGGCATTACAGTTTGTTGACTCTGTGGTTGTCTTGCTCTGTTATTAAGATACTTCTTTGTTGCAGTTATCTTCTCTGAAACATGATCTGAGCAAGCAGAAGGAGCCCAAAACAAACAAACAAGCAAACAATGCACTTCCTATGTTTGCAGAATGAATATATGATCACTTTTCAGAGCTCTGTGCTAGCATTTTTAGGAAAGTGGGAAAAAGAATATAGATGATAAACCTGGAACATAATGAAAGTTGTGCTTGTAAGGTGATTTAGCAAGTAACTCCACCCCCAAATATACTTTCTGTCTTAGTTCATTTGTTATTTGTGCCTCAGGCGCATAAAGAGGGTGATTCTTACCTTTCATAATATAATGGCTTCCAATATTATTAACTGTCATTATACAGCTGCGATCATGTCATATAAACTGGGACAATGGGTTATTGTATTGAGGGTTGTCAAGTCAGGAGCATCTGAGACCCTCAGAAACATGAGATATAGGGGCAGCCTATATAAATCAACATCAGTTTCTTTTCCTTCTGACACACCTTCCCCTCTCAGTCTCCCGGTCATCACCCAGGGTCCAAACAAACTCTCAGCTCACCCACAAAAATCTCACACCAAGAAAAGTTCCTGGAAATAGCAGATATCATCCTAGTCTCTCAATCAAAGGGAAGGGCTAAACGTCGCCTCCCATACTGTGGTCCCAGTAAAAAATCTGCGTTCCCCCCATGCCTATTTAAAAACCCAGATGTGGCTACTCATTGCAGTATTAAGGTAACATCTGCCTTGGCCCTAGGAAAGAGCTGAACCCTAGAACAAGGATTGTCCTCAAAGAGCTGTTCTGTGTGGTCGCTTTAAATCAACATGATAAGTTTCTCTCTCTCACTCACTGTGTACACACCAAGAATCCTGGGAACTATAGTTTACCCCCATGGGGCTACAGTTCACAGCACCCTTAACGAACTAGTTTGCAGGATTCTTTGGGAAAAGTTATATGCTTTATATTTTTAGTGCGTATGCAGCTTCTTTCTCTTTGTGTTGATAGTTGGCTTTGTTTTGTTTTGTTGTTGTAACATACAGTGAAAGGCAGGTAAGATACTCAACAGCAGATGTTGTGGTCCAGTTATGGATCACATGGCCAAATCCTGCAGCATACAGGTGGGAGGTGCGAAATCATGTCTTCGAATACTGACCATACTTTAAAAAGTCGCTTCATATAGCATGCCAGGAAGAGGGTGAGGTTAGAACCACATTGTCTCACGCTGTTCCAGATGCAAGATGTTTTAGGATACTGAGGTATGCTCAGCTGGAATGTCCCTTACCTTCATTTGGAAATGGTATCATTCCAAGAGGGCTGTATAAGATCATTCATCTGTAATTCTCTTTTGGCTCAAAGTGATGCAGCTACAAGCTCTGCAATTCCTGGCAACACCTTTTAGCAGCTTGGTTGGTTCAGTGTTTGGTTTGCTGGGCCAAATACCCCCACCCCCTCAGGTGCATTAGGAGTAGGCCAAAGCCTTCTTTTATTGGTAGAAGATGATTGTCTGAGCTTTTGTGAAAGGCCAGGAATGAAAATTTAATCACAGTTGTGAAAGGTTACCTGGATTTGCTTTAGTGGGTTGTCATTTATGTGGAGCTGTTCAGTCTATCAGCTCTGGACGGGGGCAACACAGCAAAGAGAGGGGAAGTGATGACAGGAAGTCTAGGATGCTCATGAAGCCGGCAGCCATCTTGGAGACCTAGCGGGGCTTAATGTGTTTAAAAGGTGTAAAAATCAAATAGAGTTGCTTCGCCTCCTCCTCCTCCTCCTCCTCCTTCATAAACTAGCCCTATTTCCATGACAGACAAAAACTGAACACAGTGGCACAGAAGTTTTGTAACTCCCCACCATTTAACAAAAAAAGTAGGTATCTATTTGCAATAGCTTCGGACAATCGTATTATGTTATTAGCATGGAGACCAATTATGCATCCTTCCCACCAATATACAGATTTGTGTGTAAGATTTACAGGTGCTAATTTGTATGTCTTGCTGCAAATTCAGAAGTAATTACTATAAATTAGATAATTACCATAACTTAATTGCGCAAGAGTACTCTCCGACAAATAGGATGGCCACTTACAGATCGCCAAAATAAAAAGGACAAAATGTGGTCACATATGCATATGCTAATACATACAGAGAACTGCCAATTAGAAACAGATCACCATAGTGGGGAACTCTGACACTAGGTGACCTATCCTTGGATGCTAAATTTTGATGGGCTCCTTGTGCTATCCCTTCTTAGGATTATTTATCTTAAACTGGGCTTCATCTCATATGCACTATACATTTGAAGCAGTCTCATAATACTAGAGTTGCCATATTTCACAAGGTGAAAAAAGTTGAGGGTTTTATTTGGCAAAGTTGTTGAACTTTTTTGTTATTGCAAGATCTAAAAAAAGAAGAAGTTTTTGAGCTGTTTTTAAGGATATTTGCCAAAATCTACACTTCCAACTTGGGTTGCCATACATCCAGATTTTCCTGGACATTTAAGCAATTTCTGCTCGGACACTGTTTCCGATGGCTGAATCCTGGCAGTGTCCGGGCAGTTCCAGATGTATGGCAACCATCTCCATAACACTTTAAACATTCATTGCTTCCCCCAAAGAATCCTGGGAATGGTAGCTTTTTAATGGGTCCTCATACAGCCACAATGCCCAGAGTGGTTTAACAACCTTTCCCTTTCCGCAGGGGACTCTGGGAATTGCTAGTTTACACAAACCACGGTTTTCAGTTCTGGTTTCCAGACAAAACATTCGCCTGGTTCTTATGTAACAGCAAACCACAGTTTGCTGTAAAAGAGGGAGCCAAGGAGGGAATTGGAGAGCAAAAGGAAGGGGGGGGGGAAGAGATGCCATTGCAATGTTTGTTTGTGTAGTGCCAAACCATGCCAGTTAGTTTATGCACATTGGTTTTCCTGTTCTTAGGTGTTGTTAGAGATCTTTGAGTTGTATCCAGCTAACTGCAACCCTTACCATGTCCTATTGAATTCAGTGGGGCTTACTCCCAAGTAAGTATGGGAGGGTAGGAGCGGAGCCAAAGCCATACTTAGACTCATCTGTATTAATGAAAATGACTAACTTAAAATCATTCATTTCAACGAGTCTTTGCTGAGGATGATTCAGTAGAATATTACACATTGCAGCTGTTTTTCTGGAAACGCCAATATTCAGCAGTGGTCAAAAAAACCAATTATGTCAGGGGAGGTAGTACACAAAATGTTGCCAACACCCCTGTGTAGTGAAAATGGTTGTTTATAACTGCACCTTCTGTATTGGTGCCTTGGAACATTTTCTATACATGAAGCTTAAATTGGCTGTGAGCCTCTCTGCTGTCATTTGTTAACTTCCAAACAATGTAGAAGAGAAAGCAAAATGATATTTCTGGTCACTGTAGGTGTTAAATTCATGTTGCAAAGCAGATGAAAACAAGAGCGCTGCTTTGTAAAAAGGCCTTTTGATTTGTTTCTTCTCCTTTCACCTTTGTACGACCCTGATCTGGAGAGGAGTCAGTGGCAGAGAATCTGTTTTGAATGCAGACCAGCCCAGATCTAATCCCAGGCATCTCCAGTTAGGATAATTGGATAACAGGTGATGGAGAAAGCCCTGGGGAATTGCTACCAGCCAGAATAGAATTGGCTAAAGGGAGAAATATTTTGATCTAGCACAGGACAGCTGCCTGTGTTCTTATGACCATCATTGGTGTCATGGCTGGGCAATGGGCAACAGACTAAGGTGAACCAGAAACCAGGAACCGTGGGACAATCAGAGGCAAAGAGCAAGTCCAAAACTAAGGACAAGCCAGGAGGTAGGCTTCAGGAAGAAGCCTGAAGGTTGGGGCCAAAGAAAAGTAGTAGCACATCTGCTTTGCATGCAGAAGGTCCCAGGTTCAATCCCTGGCATCTACAGGAAGGGCTGTGAATACCCCCTGTCTGAAACCCTGACAGACCATTGTTGGTACTGCAAGGCTGGACTACTGCAGTGTTCTGTTTGGGGCTGGTTTGGAAACTGCAGCTTGAGCAGAATGTGGTGGTTAGGCTGCTGAGTGCGACAGCCTATCCTGAATATATTTCGCCAGTCCTGAAGGAACTTGGTCGACGAATTGCTGCAACATTGAGGACTGCTTTTTTGTTGATGTTTAGTGGTTTAGTCGTGTCCGACTCTTCGTGACCCCATGGACCAGAGCACGCCAGGCACGCCTGTCTTCCACTGCCTCCCGCAGTTTGGTCAAACTCATGCTGGTAGCTTCGAGAACACTGTCCAACCATCTCGTCCTCTGTCGTCCCCTTCTCCTTGTGCCCTCCATCTTTCCCAACATCAGGTTCTTTTCCAGGGAGTCTTCTCTTCTCATGAGGTGGCCAAAGTATTGAAGTCTCAGCTTCAGGATCTGTCCTTCCAGTGAGCATTCAGGGCTGATTTCCTTAAGAATGGAGAGGTTTGATCTTCTTGCAGTCCATGGGACTCTCAAGTGTCTCCTCCAGCACCATAATTCAAAAGCATCAATTCTTCGGCGATCAGCCTTCTTTATGGTCCAGCTCTCACTTCTATACATCACTACTGGGGAAACCATAGCTTTAACTATACGGACCTTTGTTGGCAAGGTGATGTCTCTGCTTTTTAAGATGCTGTCTAGGTTTGTCATTGCTTTTCTCCCAAGAAGCAGGCGTCTTTTAATTTTGTGGCTGCTTTTTTACTGGGTCTAATTGCCTAGGTTATCTTATTGGAAACTGCCCCTTTATCTGCCTTCCTGCTGCCTCACTGCCTCACTCTATCATTTATCCTGGCCTGCTTCCGCTGCATCCCAACATTTGCAATTTTTTACACTTTCCAAGAAAGCAAGAGAAGGCTTGCACGGAGAGACTTGCTTGCTCAAGGCCATTTTGGAAGGCGCTCTTGCCTGCGAGGCAGTGCGGCCTGCCGCATCCCAGCAAACAAAGCCCTTTTCAGAGTAAAGAGGTTCACATGGTCCAATTAACAAGGGCATTGAGCTTCCCTCAAGCATGGGAGCACTTTAAAAGGATGCTCGATACAAAGAGAAGGAGAAGAAAACTAAAAAAGCCCATGGAACATTTCCCATGGTGCATTAGCTTAAACAGAAAGGGTTTAAGTGTGTAATTAACTCTGAAGCAAGAGGCCCACAGACTAAACAGATCAAAAAGCACCAGGCAGACTCCTGGGCAGCCATCCATATTCCCGAGTTACTGTGGAGTATTTAATTAGGCCTCTCTGGCACCACTGGGTCATTTTGTGTGTGTTCCTTTCTCCTCCTATTTCTCCTTCTTTTTCCTTTCTGCACCATCCCAGAGGGCTTAGCAAGAGTCTCCTTGCTTCTGCATTAAGTGTGCAACATATTGAACTGGATTTGAAAAAGTATATACCCAGAATGCTCCTTTATTCATGTTGGAGGGAGAGCACACCTCCACCTGCCAAAACAAGCAGCTGCCCACACTCTACCAGGCAGGTTCAAGTTTCTTGTATTTGTTTACAAGGCCTTTAACAATATGGGTCCAAGATACTGCCTGATCCCGTATATCTCTGTCTGATCACTGAGGTCTTATGGCCTTTTGGGTAGAAGGTTCCCAGGTCTGGGAACTAGGCAGGGTAGTCCATTCGGGTTGAGTTGCCTTCCCTATAAAGGTGCAGGTATGTAATTTGGAGGTCACTGTGAGTGGTCCCTCATAGATGGGCAGCTTATATCTACTGGGAGCCATGCATCTGGTATTGTGGTCCAAATTTGATGGAACTTCCTTCCAGTTGAAGTCACCCCTGCTGAACTTCTGTTGCTGACTGAATACGTTGTTGTTGTTGTTGTTGTTGTTGTTGTTGTTGTTGTTGTCCTTCCTTCCTTCCTTCCTTCCTTCCTTCCTCCCTCCCTCCCTCCCTCCCTCCCTCCCTTCCTTCCCTCCTTTCTCTCTCTCTCTCTTTCTTTCTTTCTTTCTTTCTTTCTTTCTTTCCTCTTTCTTTCTTTCTTTCTTTCTTTCTTTCTTTCTTTCTTCTCCTCCAGCAGGCATTATAACTGAATTCTGATTTCATAGATATAACTCATTTAAATTTTCATTGCATCGAGTTTCTTGTGCAGTGCTTACAGGCGATTATAATTAAGCAGTATATAAAATTGTTGCAACAAATAAATAAATACATTTCTGAGAGCGCCTCTAGACTGTCAGAGTTTTATAGAAGGGATTCAAATGCATGCTGGGTAATGTAGCTTTGTGCAATTAAAGTGTCCCGAAAGTGCAACACATCCACTTTTTAAAAAAGAAAGGGACCTTTTGTGGTTAAGAAAGTGATGGGAAAATGCATTGAAAAATGTTTGATGATTAATGGGAAGATTAATGGGCGCACACCACAATAAATCAGAATGAACGCTACTTAGATGGCTTTAAAAGAGGACTGGATAAACTTGAGAAGAAGGCTGTTGATGGCTACAGGCCATGATGGCTATGTTCTGCCTCCACAACTGGAGGAAGCCGTGTTTTCAAATAGCAGTTGCTACCTGTAAGGGAACTGCCGTCGGCTCAGAGGTGAGAAATAGAAGGGCAGTTGTGTTACAGGGAGCCTCCGACAATCTTGCGAAGCAGTTCCTCTTCCGGGGAGGAGGAAAGCCCCACCTCCAGTGGAGAAGAGGTGCAAGGACCAGCGGATGCTAGCGAGAGCCTTAACACCGCTCCTGAGCAAGCCGGAGAGGAGGGAAGCTTGCCTTTGCCATTGCCCATCCTGCGCAGTAGTCTGAGAAGCAGGGAGGGGCGGAAACGGTTGGGAGTAACAGAATTTTTATGTTGGGGGAGGTACAAAAAAAGACCACTCCCGGATTCTGCTAGCGATTGAGCCAGACATGAACTTATGATGCTCTTCACTGTAAATAGTTTGCACCAAAATAAAGCCTGTAGAAGACAGGTTGGAGTCCTGCCTGGTTACTCTCGAGCAACTGCAACAGACATCTGACACTACCCATAGGCATCTGGTTGACCCTTGTAAGAATAGGATGCTGGAACTAGATAGGCAGTTGGCCTGATTCAGCAGGCTCTTATGATGTTCTCAATGTCATATAATAATGTACCACATAATTCGGAGAAATCTGACTTTTGAAGGATTGCTGCCTTTTGGTCCGCGAATTGTTTCAGGAAGTTTGAATTTGAGAGTTTGGAACTTCTTCTCCATCCCTAATACCCCTGCATGGAAAGGGCTTCTATGTTGCAACGTGGGACCCAAAAGACAATGGCAAGCGTAGCATAGGCCATGTGAGAGCAATTTGGGCAGGAATGGAGTTGAATTATCTATTGCTTTCCTAACTCAGCAGTTCAGTTCTGTGTTTCCCTCGCTCAGGTTGATCACACAGAAGCCATTAGTACCCCTGTTTGCCTAACTGCTTGCCAAAGGTAGCTGCTGGTTGACAGTGTCATTTTTTCAGCCTCCCTCCCACTCTATTTAAAGTACAGTTTAGTCCTTGGAGTGTCCTAGAGTGGATTAGCACTCCTATAGCAGTTCCTAACTATGTATGTAGCAGCAACCCACAGTGCTTGCAAAACTGCCTTCTGTACAGGGCCTGCTTAGAGACTGGCATTAGCAGAGACGTGGGCCATTAGTCTTTGCTTCTGAAAATATGCCTGTCCTTGTACACTAGCCTGGTTCCTCTTGATCAAGATAATGTTCCTGGCTTGGAAAAGGGATGTGGCGGGCAGCTGTGGGGACAGTCTTCTGGTATCTACCCAAGGTGGCACTCAAGACAGAAAAGTTCATTTCTATTTGCTAATCATGTGACCTCTGGCATGTTGCTTTTTCCTGTTCCATGCTGGGTCTTGCCAGGGGCAACCTGGAAATGGACAAGATCAAGGTAGCTGGTCAGGATGTGAGCTGGATGCGCGATCAGGCCAGAAACCAGTCTCACGGATAGGCAAGGAATGTTGCTTTTGCACTGGTCTAGGAAATGACTGATGGTTTAGGTCAGGGATGGGGAACCTGTTTGCCTTTCAAAGCCTTGGTTGTGCGTGCTGATCGCCATGGATGGCTTCAGAAGACGATTAAACAAATTCATGGAGAATAAGGCTATGATTGCCTGCTTACCATGGTGGCTATTCTCTGCTAAGTATATACATGCCTGTGAATACTTTCTTTATCCTGAGCAAACCGTTTTATATGACTGGCTTTTCAGACTGATGAAGTGTGTAGCGAAACCTGTAATATATCCAGAGAACGGGTCTCCTTTTGCCCACTTGCATTATTCTCACATGTGGTGGTTTTGATTTGTCTTCCCATGATTGATCCATGCATACGGCTTTGTGTTTCCAACTCAAGACCCATTGAAGAACATCTCATCCAGTTCAATCTTTGAAAAACAGCTTTGAAAAACTTTTTCACATGGGTGAAAAAAGATTTAGAAATTTGGTCAAATTTGAAGCTTTCACTGCTAGGCCGTATTGCTGCGATAAAAATGAATGTATTGCCTAGAATGTTGTTTTTGTTTCAAACTTTGCAGATTGTGGACAAAATGGACTGTTTCAAGAGGTGGCAGAAAGATATTTCTAAATTTGTCTGGCAGGGCAAGAAACCCAGAATAAAATTTAAAATACTAACAGATGCAAAGGAAAGAGGTGGATTTGCCCTGCCAGACCTCAAACTTTATTATGAATCAGCAGCTTTCTGCTGGTTGAAAGAATGGCTACTTCTTGAAAACACTGACATTTTGGACTTGGAAGGTTTCAATAATGTATTTGGATGGCATGCATATCTATGGTATGATAAGGTCAAAGCACACAAAGCATTTAAAAACCACATTGTCAGGAAAGCGCTATTTAATGTTTGGATAAGATATAAGGATTTGTTAGAAAATAAAACCCCAAGGTGGCTGTCACCAATGGAAGCGAAAGCCTTGAAAAGGGTCAATATGGAGGTCAAATGGCCGAAATAT